CATCTGCTTCACCTTCCATTTTCGCACAGCAGCTACCGCCAGTAGCACACGTAGCGTTGGAGACTTAGCAGTTGGGGCAAACACTTCTTTGTAATCTTCTTTCTCTTTCTGCTGAAACCCCTTTGCCACCAGCCTGCTCTTGTAAACTGATGGCTCTCCTTTCTCATCCATCTTGATTTTTGCCAGCCACTTGCACTGTATTGCCTTCTTCCCATTTGGCAAGTACACCAGGTCCCATGTGTGATTCTCCATCTGGCTGTTGTACTCTGCATCTCTTGAAACGAGCCACTTCCCCCGTTGAGGCCCGGCTAGCGCATGATCCATGCTCGGAGGTTGTATTGGTGCGTAAAAGCAGTATGCAGGCTCCTCGTCATCTGACTCTTGGTCATCACCCAAGAACAGCACTGCATCTTCGCCTTGAGCCTGTTCCTGCTGCTCAGTTGTGGCTCCTCCACTTGTAGAGCTCAGCAGCTTCCTTGTTGCCATTCTGGTACGTGCAGGGTAGATGGTTGGATTTACCCATTCTTTCACCTTCACCCAATCCTTTGTCCCCCCACGAATCTGTTTCCTTCGCTTTGGCAGACTTGGTGTTTTGGAAGCCTCTTGCTGCTGCTGCTCCGGATACTTGACTTCAGCATCAGCTGCAATATCCTCATTGCTTCCTTCATCAGTACCGCTTGCCGTTGGCGCAGTGACTTCGCTGTCCTCAGGTTCGGACAAATCGAAGTGCATAGTGATCTCTTCCAGCTGCTGGGTGACCCTTGCCTCCGGCTGCTTCTCCCACTTGCCATACATGATGTTCTCCACAAATTTGACATCCCGACTGTCAAACAACACATTCTTCGAGGGCTCCCAGAGTAGCCACCCCTTGCTCTCTGCCGCAAGTCCAAGGTGCACACACCACAGTGCAGATGCTCCAAGCTTTATCCTGTACGGTTTAGGGACATGCGCCACTGCCATGCATCCGAACACTCTGAGCATGTCCACTGGAGGCTTCTTTCCAAGCCACCTCTCCAACGGCACCCACATATCATCAGCCACCTTTGTGAGTACGCGGTTCCTTGCCACTGTAGCATGCCTCATCGCATGAGGCCACATGGAGTTCCCCAGCCCTGATTCGATCAGCAGCGCTCGCGCAGTTTCCAGGATGGTCCTATTAGCTCTCTCAGCAACGCCATTTGACTGAGGGGTATAGGACGTCGTTAGCTGATGCTCAATGCCTTGTTTCTTGAGCCACGCAGTCAGATCTCCTCCTAGAAACTCTCCACCTCGGTCGGTTCTGATGCTCTTGCATGGGTGCCCAGATTGTCGCTCGACGAACGGCAGCCAGTCATCTCGTATTGTTGAGGCAACATGATCCTTCTGCTTCAACGGGTATGCCCACATCAGCCGACTCCAGTCATCAACTATTGTCAGGAAGTACCTTTCCCCCTTACTTCCTCGAACTGGAAAAGGTCCTACCAGGTCCATGTGCACCAGTTCCAGTGCTGCCTTGCTTTTCCCAGCTACACCATGAAAGGGGAACCGTGTGAACTTGCTCAGCAGACACGTCTCGCACTTGGTATCATTTGGTTGCCCAGAAAGTTTCAGCCCCTTTACTGCTTCTTCCTTATGCAGTTGCTGCAGCAATGGCATAGCCACATGCCCTAGACGCCTGTGTGCGGTTTCCCAATCAGTCTCCCCCGACCTTGCAGAAACCGTCACTCCTGCAGCACTAACTGCATTGCACTCCCCCTGGACTCCAGATCCCGCCTTTACTGCTCCCAACTCCTTCTTTGTTGATTCCCATATCAGTGCAGGGATCTGCCACATGGATCTGAAGACATCTCTGCTTTCGTGTAAATCCCATAACACACGATCTCCTCGCAGCCCCTTGAATGTTTTGGATCCATTGGTGGTGGTGCTGACTCCGGCCTGGCCTAGCTTGCGCAGCGATATCAGATTGGCCTTCAGCCCCGGTACGAGTAACACGTCCTTCAGCACAACCAGTCCACCATCAGGTGCTCGGAATGCAGATCGACCAACTCCAGCGACCTTCACTGCATGTCCGGATGCTGAGCGCACTTCGGAGATTGGAGGCGCTCGCACAGCATCCAGCAAGTCCTTGCGTGGTGTCATTGTCCATGCAGCACCAGAGTCCATGACCCACATGTCAAGCGGGTGCAGTTCCTCTCCAGCCCTTGCAACAGCTGTGCCACTATCATCTTTGTCACACACATGGTAGAATTGTCCAGCATTCCTCTCCTCATTTCCCATTCCTCTGTCATCCTTGGAGGTTTCTTCAGCAGGATCAGCTACCATGTTGGCACCTCCATGTGGTTGCTTTCCTCCATTCCCCTTTTGCGATTGGTTCCAAGGGGTCCACCAGTCGGGCTTGGTAGAGCAGCGAAACCATGGATGCCCTTCTTCCTTGCAATACCAGCACTCTCCCCTCAAGCGTGGTTCACTGTTGTCATTGTTGGAGTGACCACCTCTTCCTCTTGCACCAGCGCCACCACGCCCCCGCTGGTTCCAAGTCCCGCGACCACCTTGGTTGTAGTGGGAGCGACCGCGATTGCCACGCCCTCGATCCCTCCATGTCCCTTGCATGGCATAGCCGCTGGTGCTGTCATCACCTCCGCGCAGTGTATAGCGACGAAAATCTTCTTCCAGAATCTTGGTGCGAATCCACTCCAATGTCCATTGACTTTGGTTTTGTGGCAAGCTGAGTCCGCTTATAAATTGCAGCCAAGACTCGGGCAGCAGGCTGAGCATCTTGAGACACTTAGTCTGCTCAGGGTACGTGATGCCTGCAATCGCCAATTTCGCGTAGAGTTCCCTCATCTTGTTTAGTACGGGCTGCACAGGTTCATTCTCGCTCAACCACAGCATGGACAGCTCCCGATCCAGCATGAGAGAAGCGGCAACCGATGTCGGAGCGTGCAGGTCCTTGAGCACTGCCCATGCCTTGGGCCCACAATCAATTTCCGGTACCAGATGCATGATGTGATGCCTCTGGTTCAGCTCCAAGCTTTGTGACAGTAGATAATACCCAGCAGATGAACGTTCATCCCAGTCCGCTTGCTCTGCCATTTCCTTTGGCCTGGGCTCCGTTCCAATCATGAGCTTCAAGAGGCCAATTTGTCAAAAGTAGAGCTGCATCTTCCATGCCCAATCGTCATAGCCATCTCCAGAGAACTTCTCAATGGTGAAGTTCTTCAGCACCTCCTTAAGCAGTGACCCCTGGCTTGTATGCGCTCCCCTTTGCGCTGCAATGCCAGAATCTTGGGTTGAGCTGCCTCCTTGGACTGAAGTATCATCTCCACCAGATTCCTCCTTATCTCCCATCGTATTTTAGGTCCCAAATGTGTGATAATGGGCTCTGATACCACTTGTTGGTTAGAGAAGGCTATAAGCAGATGATTCAATGGCTCCTTGGAAATTTCTGCAGCACTTCGTTATGACGTCCAGAAAACTCGCGACCTTCGAAAAGCTATATCCAAAACTCCAATCCGTGAAACAATCTGAAAATCAGATATGTTGTAGCTTGCAGCGTCAGCTTTCCAATGAAAGTTGAATCACTCGATTCCGTAGCTTAACAAGCGAGCTATGGCGTTTGGCGCACTGGGGGGTAATCTGCCCTAGGAGAAGTTGACAATCCTCAGAGTCACTATAATTGAAGCTTACAAGTTCAGAGGCATGATGGAAAAGGCATTGAAGCACAGTTGGAAGGTAGGGATGGAAGGGAAGGATGAAAGGGAAGGACTCTGGAGGCCCATGGTCAAGAACATGACAAGAGTCAAAGTCTTGACTCCCCATCCTCAGGTTCAGCCAGCTTGGCAAGACAAAATTCACACTGTACCAGGTTGGCCTCCAAACCCCAAATGCTGCAGCTGCAGGGTGGGGACAAAAGTCCCACACATGCTGGTCCCTCCTCGTTATAGGGCTCTCCAACTTTGGTGTAGCAGCTGACAAGGACTTCCAATGAGTTGTAACAAATCCATCAAACATTTCTTCGTAACTTCTTCATATGTGCTCCGATTCCAACAATTCTTGGATGTGCTCGATGTCATGCACAATCCAAGCACATCTGCACAAGCACAAGATGAACATGCAAAGACATGCAAACCCAACAAACCATACAAATAATGTAGCACACAAAACACATGCAACGAAATGATGCGAACAGACGACAGGATGACGTGCAAACGAATATGCACCAACATAGGTGTGAGGGGTCGGGATGTCAAGAGTGTCCCGTCACAGGCTAGCAGCATGAAGCAGAGATGAGGAGCGGCCTCGGACAGGAAAGCTAGCTCGTACTATTTGTCCTTAAGGACGTCACTGCCAAGGGCAGGTGAACCCCTGACAGACGGAAGACAGGCAGTGTCGGAGACCAGACCAGTACCGTAGTCAAGGCGACAGTTAGAGGCAAAGTCAGCAACAACAGCGACAAGATCCGAGACACTGGAGACAGGAATGGACGGGTCGGTAACAAGAGAGGCTAGGACATGAGGAACAAGAGGGCAAGCAGCACGGACGAAGTCAGAGAGAGGAGGCGAGGAGACAGAGAGGGACAACTGAGGAGGAGACGGGAGAGAAGGAGCAGTTGGAGCATGAGACGTGTGAGAACGGAGAGACCGGTGGATACTCGGAGCGGGAGAGACAGGACGATTAGGAGAGGGACTGTGAGACCACCAGCGAGAGGGGAGCCTGGGATCAGGAGACAAAGAAGGAAACAAGGGTTGACCACGCCAACTTTTAATCCTGATCCTTTCCCACGCTTCCGCCCCATCCCCTTCCGACGTGCACCTCATTGCCGTCCCCTCCATAGCCGCTGCTAGACTCCTAGCCACCGCCTCTCTTTCCCTTCACAACCAGTTTTCTGTTGGGTGGATTTTGAAACACTCCCAGTGCGCCAAACATCATAGCTCGCTCCCTAGTTGATAGAATTGAGTTGTTTGACTTGCAAAAGAACGCTCTTGGTGTCAGCTACAAAGTCGTAAAATTTCATACTGTTTTACCAAATGGATTGTCAGATATCGCTTTCCGAAGTTCGCGCACTTTCTTGGATGTGATCACGAAGTGCTACTGAAATTTCCACCAAGTCCTACTTTCATCAGCTAACTACCATCTTTCCCCATCAGATAACTGCCATCAGCTAGCAGCAGCAGCACCAGAAGGAGCAGCAGATGCAGCAGCAGCAGCAGCAACAGCAGCAGCAGCAGCAGCAGCAGCAGCAGCAGCAGCAGCAGCAGCAGCAGAAGCAGCAGCAGCAGCAGTAGCAGCAGCAGAAGGAGCAACAGACGCAGCAGCAGCAGCAGCGGCAACAGCAGCAATAGCAGCAGCAGCAGCAGCAGCAGCAGCAGCAGCAGCAGCAGCAGCAGTAGCAGCAGCAGCAGCAGCAGCAGCAGCAGCAGCTGCAGCAGCAGCAACAGCAACAGCAGCAGCAGCAGCAGCAGCAACAAGAGCAGCAGCAGCAGCAGCAGAAACAGCAGCAACAAGAGCAGCAGCAGCAGCAGCAGCAGCAGCAGCAGCAGCAGTAGGATTAGCAGCAGTAGCTACAGCCATCCCCATCCTCCCCTCCTCTTTGAGCCGCCGCGAGTCCACCCGCCGCCGCTGTTAGAAATAGACTGCAAATACCACTTTTGTATTTGTACTTTTATATCCTAGTTTAGGTTCTGAATGTTCTAGTGGGTTGGGGTGTACTGACAAATCCCAACCTCACCCAATTGTGACCCCCAAATCTCCAATTACCCAATTGGAGATTCCGGAGATCCCAATGCGGATTCCCTCCAATTCCCCCTTCATCCATTCACTCTCACCTTGCCATGTACTTATAGAGCATTGGGCTCCTTACCTTATCAATGATTTCGACTCTATTCCTTACATGGTATCAGAGCGACCTATCCGCACACGCGGATCAAGGTCCTAATCTCAACGTGCCCGCGCTACGCGCACTTCATCGTAACAACATTCGTTTCGAGTCGTCGGAATTTCGACGTGCTCCACTCTGCAGTCGCGCCTCTCATCGTCGACCGCCTTCGCGCTCGACCTCGTTGAATTTCTCATCTCTGAAGCTTTCACGCTTCTCGTCGTCGATTTCCTCCTCGGTTCTCCTTGGTCGAATTTCAATTTCGACCATGTCTTAAAACTCGTTCTCGAGTTTCCCCTCAGATCCCGCTAGAATAGGCGAACTCCCCTCGCGAAATCGCCTCCACGAACGTCTCGCGTCAAGCAAGAGCAAGTACACAGGTTGAAGCGGAGCGGAGCTGGTTTCGGAGCTGGTTGCGGAGCTGGTTGCGGAGCTGGTTGTGGAGCTGGTTGCAGAGCTGTGTAGCTGCGAGACAGGGCCTGGGGGTGTGTGGGGGGGTGTGTGGGTCCGGGGTTAGACATAGGCTCAGATTCAGTTTCAAGTCGGCGTTTTAACGAATTTTTGCCGACGCCATTTCCTACTTAGCGGCATTTTGATAAAGCCGTCAGAGTGACTTTCAGCAATTCTCGTCGACAAATTTCCAGAAGTGCCACGCTGCACACCGACAATGGGTTACTCAACCACTTCACTCGCCAACCCGATCCCGCTCCTTCGTCTCGAGCCGGACGGCACATGCTCCAACTACAAGGCTTGGCGCTATGGTGTCGACAAGCACCTCCTCAGTCGCGAGCAGAAGGGGCTCGAGCTCACCGACGTCCTTCTCAACATCGGTGACGGCAAAGAGCCTCCTAAACCCGAGAGGTCCGCCGATCCAGCTAATGCCGCCGCCGAAGCAGTTTATGCTGCTGCACTGCTCAAGTACAAGAATTGGGAGAAGGCCGATGGTGCGGTCATTAGTGTCTTCATGGGCACCACTCCTCCCGAACTCGTCGAAACCTACCACAACTACCCGTCTGCCAACGCCATTTGGCTCTACCTCGAGGATCGCTTCCTGAACAAGACTGCAGTGGGAGTTGCTATACTCATCCCCAGCATGTTCCAAGTGCGGCTCGAGGACTCGCCAGGCATGGCGGACTATGTCACCAAGGTGCAGTCCATTCATGGTGAACTCAAACATTTGGGGATAGTCTTCCCCGAGCAAGCCCCTGCAGCCGCTCTCCTAGTCGGCCTCACTCCAGCATACGAAGTCACACGCAAGATGCTCTTGGGCCTTGCTCCTGCAGACCTCACATTTGCCAAGGTCTCATCTGCGCTCCTTTCTGCCGAAAAGGACAACAGCACTCAAGCCAAGGCCAATGCAATCCGCGCTCCCGTGCCTCAAGCCTATGCCGCTTCGGCGCCATTCCAGCGCAACCCCTTCCCCCCGTGTCCCTACGTCATCAAGCGTGGCCCTCGTGCCGGCCAGGTGTGTGGCGGCACCAACCACGCCCTTGCCTCCTACTTCAAGAAAAAGGATGACGATTGGTATGCCGTCAATGGGACCGCCTCGAAGCCGCCAAGCTGGATGGTCAATCGTGCTCGTCGCAAGGTCAATCAAGTCGAAGCGCAGGAATCCGTGCATGCTGCTGTAGCTCCCACTGCTGATGTGCGCCTCCACATGTTGTTCCTTGGCATTGCCATGATTAATGAGACAATTTTGCAGTGTCCCGGCTCACAAAGCACCTCAGCCACTATAGAGTTCACCCTCGACAGTGGGGCCACTCACACGGTTCTCAAGGAAGAACACTCCTTCAAGCCATACGAGACACCAATCCGTCTACTAGGAGCAGACTCCAGTTTCACAACACACGCCAAGGGCTCCTCCACAGTTCCGTGCCCAGCTTTTCCTTCGGGCAGTGTGACAGGCATGTGTGTTCCCACACTACGCCACAATCTCGTGGCCCAACACAAGCTCCAACGGGCAGGCGTCACCACGATCTTCCCAGCACACTTTGATCTCTGTGACCTCTTCGACCCTAAGTCCAACAAGCTCTTAGCACGCTTCACACTCAACAGTAGCAAGCTCTACACGCTGCGTTCACCTGCACCTCTCGCCGCCCTCTCCCAAGCGCAAGCTGCCAGCACTACTCCGTGTTCGTGTCGCAGCTTCGCCAACCCAACCATCCTCTACCACCATCGCTTGGGTCACCCCAACTTCCGTACACTTGCCGACATCGCTTCCCAGAAACTTCTTCTTGGCCTCCCGTTGGCGCTTCCTCCACCAACAGACTCGCCTGCACCCACCTGCCTGGACTGCACCAAGAGCAAGCTCACGCAGCAGCCGCACCCTTCCTCCCCATCCGTCGCAGCTGCTCCGCTAGACCTAGTGCACATGGATGTCTGGGGCCCAGCTCCAGTCGCCCTCTTCCAGATATGCCCTCTTCCATGCGGCACTCCTTTACAATCTTTATCCGCATCCCCACCCGCCCGACACCACACCTACCGCTCTCTGGCTTGGGGTCACGCCTTCCGCTCGCTCTCTACACGTCTGGGGGTGTACCGCGTATGTGTTGCTAAGCCCCCACATGCGCAGGAAGCAAGGTGGCAAACTTGGTCCCAAAACCCAGACCTGCATGTACCTGGGGCACAACTCTGACTCCCCAGACTACTTATTCCTCAACCCAATCACCAGACAGCTGATTCGCAGCCGTGATGTCGTCTTCGATGAGACACGCCCATTCCACTCTGCGACCACGGGCGAGCCTCCTCCACCTCCCCCGACGCTTGTTTGGGCAGACTTCGATGCCCCACCTCCGGCCGCTGCCCCTTCTCCGGGGCCTTCTCTGTCCGGCGTGTCTCACCCGGCCTCCCCAGTATCCTCTACAGCATCACCTCCTCCTGCTCCGCCTTCCCCGCGCGTCGAGCCCGGCTCACCAGTCTCCTATCAGAGGCGCCCAGTGTTGGTGCATATTCGTTTGCACGTCATCCTGTCGTCTGTTCGCATCATTTTGTTGCATGTGTTTTGAGTGCTACATTGTTTGTATGGTTTGTTGGGTTTGCATGTCTTTGCATGTTCATCTTGTGCTTGTGCAGATGTGCTTGGATTGTGCATGACATCGAGCACATCCAAGAATTGTTGGAATCGGAGCACATATGAAGAAGTTACGAAGAAATGTTTGATGGATTTGTTACAACTCATTGGAAGTCCTTGTCAGCTCCTACACCAAAGATGGAGAGCCCTATAACGAGGAGGGACCAGCATGTGTGGGACTCTTGTCCCCACCCTGCAGCTGCAGCATTTGGGGTTTGGAGGCCAACCTGGTACAGTGTGAATTTTGTCTTGCCAAGCTGGCTGAACCTGAGGATGGGGAGTCAAGACTTTGACTCTTGTCATGTTCTTGACCATGGGCCTCCAGGGTCCTTCCCTTTCATCCTTCCCTTCCATCCCTACCTTCAAATTGTGCTTCAATGCCTTTTCTATCATGCCTCAACTAGTAAGCTTCTATTATAGTGACTCTGAGGATTGTCAACTTCTCCTAGGGCAGATTACCCCCCAGTGCGCCAAACGCCATAGCTCGCTCGTTAAGCTACGGAATCGAGTGACTCAACTTTCAGAGGAAAGCGGACGCTGCAAGCTACAACATATCTGATTTTCAGATTGTTTCACCGATTGGAGTTTTGGATATAGCTTTTCGAAGGTCGCGAGTTGTCTGGACGTCATAACGAAGTGCTGCAGAAATTTCCAAGGAGCCATTGAATCATCTGCTTATAGCCTTCTCTAACCAACAAGTGGTATCAGAGCCCATTATCACGCATTTGGGACCTAAAATACGATGGGAGATAAGGAGGACTCTGGTGGAGATGATACTTCAGTCCAAGGAGGCAGCTCAACCCAAGATTCTGGCATTGCAGTGCAAAGGGGAGCGCATACAAGCCAGGGGTCACTGCTTAAGGAGGTGCTGAAGAACTTCACCATTGAGAAGTTCTCTGGAGATGGCTATGACGATTGGGCATGGAAGATGCAGCTCTACTTTCGACAAATCGGCCTCTTGAAGCTCATGATTGGAACGGAGCCAAGGCCAAAGGAAATGGCAGAGCAAGCGGACTGGGATGAACGTTCATCTGCTGGGTATTATCTACTGTCACAAAGCTTGGAGCTGAACCAGAGGCATCACATCATGCATCTGGTACCGGAAATTGATTGTGGGCCCAAGGCATGGGCAGTGCTCAAGGACCTGCACGCTCCGACATCGGTTGCCGCTTCTCTCATGCTGGATCGGGAGCTGTCCATGCTGTGGTTGAGCGAGAATGAACCTGTGCAGCCCGTACTGGACAAGATGAGGGAACTCTACGCGAAATTGGCGATTGCAGGCATCACGTACCCTGAGCAGACTAAGTGTCTCAAGATGCTCAGCCTGCTGCCCGAGTCTTGGCTGCAATTTATAAGTGGACTCAGCTTGCCACAAAACCAAAGTCAATGGACATTGGAGTGGATTCGCACCAAGATTCTGGAAGAAGATTTTCGTCGCTATACACTGCGCGGAGGTGATGACAGCACCAGCGGCTATGCCATGCAAGGGACATGGAGGGATCGAGGGCGTGGCAATCGCGGTCGCTCCCACTACAACCAATGTGGTCGCGGGACTTGGAACCAGCGGGGGCGTGGTGGCGCTGGTGCAAGAGGAAGAGGTGGTCACTCCAACAATGACAACAGTGAACCACGCTTGAGGGGAGAGTGCTGGTATTGCAAGGAAGAAGGGCATCCATGGTTTCGCTGCTCTACCAAGCCCGACTGGTGGACCCCTTGGAACCAATCGCAAAAGGGGAATGGAGGAAAGCAACCACATGGAGGTGCCAACATGGTAGCTGATCCTGCTGAAGAAACCTCCAAGGATGACAGAGGAATGGGAAATGAGGAGAGGAATGCTGGACAATTCTACCATGTGTGTGACAAAGATGATAGTGGCACAGCTGTTGCAAGGGCTGGAGAGGAACTGCACCCGCTTGACATGTGGGTCATGGACTCTGGTGCTGCATGGACAATGACACCACGCAAGGACTTGCTGGATGTTGTGCGAGCGCCTCCAATCTCCGAAGTGCGCTCAGCATCCGGACATGCAGTGAAGGTCGCTGGAGTTGGTCGAGCTGCATTCAGAGCACCTGATGGTGGACTGGTTGTGCTGAAGGACGTGTTACTCGTACCGGGGCTGAAGGCCAATCTGATATCGCTGCGCAAGCTAGGCCAGGCCGGAGTCAGCACCACCACCAATGGATCCAAAACATTCAAGGGGCTGCGAGGAGATCGTGTGTTATGGGATTTACACGAAAGCAGAGATGTCTTCAGATCCATGTGGCAGATCCCTGCGCTGATATGGGAATCAACAAAGAAGGAGTTGGGAGCAGTAAAGGCGGGATCTGGAGTCCAGGGGGAATGCAATGCAGTTAGTGCTGCAGGAGTGACGGTTTCTGCAAGGTCGGGGGAGACTGATTGGGAAACCGCACACAGGCGTCTAGGGCATGTGGCTATGCCATTGCTGCAGCAACTGCATAAGGAAGAAGCAGTAAAGGGGCTGAAGCTTTCTGGGCAACCAAATGATACCAAGTGCGAGACGTGTCTGCTGAGCAAGTTCACACGGTTCCCCTTTCACGGCATAGCAGGGAAAAGCAAGGCAGCACTGGAACTGGTGCACATGGACCTGGTAGGACCTTTTCCAGTTCGAGGAAGTAAGGGGGAAAGGTACTTCCTGACAATAGTTGATGACTGGAGTCGGCTGATGTGGGCATACCCGTTGAAGCAGAAGGATCATGCTGCCTCAACAATACGAGATGACTGGCTGCCGTTCGTCGAGCGACAATCTGGGCACCCATGCAAGAGCATCAGAACCGACCGAGGTGGAGAGTTTCTAGGAGGAGATCTGACTGCGTGGCTCAAGAAACAAGGCATTGAGCATCAGCTAACGACGTCCTATACCCCTCAGTCAAATGGCGTTGCTGAGAGAGCTAATAGGACCATCCTGGAAACTGCGCGAGCGCTGCTGATCGAATCAGGGCTGGGGAACTCCATGTGGCCTCATGCGATGAGGCATGCTACAGTGGCAAGGAACCGCGTACTCACAAAGGTAGCTGATGATATGTGGGTGCCGCTGGAGAGGTGGCTTGGAAAGAAGCCTCCAGTGGACATGCTCAGAGTGTTCGGATGCATGGCAGTGGCGCATGTCCCTAAACCGTACAGGACAAAGCTTGGAGCATCTGCACTGTGGTGTGTGCACCTTGGACTTGCGGCAGAGAGCAAGGGGTGGCTACTCTGGGAGCCCTCGAAGAATGTGCTGTTTGACAGTCGGGATGTCAAATTTGTGGAGAACATCATGTATGGCAAGTGGGAGAAGCAGCCGGAGGCAAGGGTCACCCAGCAGCTGGAAGAGATCACTATGCACTTCGATTTGTCCGAACCTGAGGACAGCAAAGTCACTGCGCCAACGGCAAGCGGTACTGATGAAGGAAGCAATGAGGATATTGCAGCTGATGCTGAAGTCAAGGATCCGGAGCAGCAGCAGCAAGAGGCCTCCAAAACACCAAGTCTGCCAAAGCGAAGGAAACAGATTGGTGGGGGGACAAAGGATTGGGTGAAGGTGAAAGAATGGGTAAATCCAACCATCTACCCTGCACGTACCAGAATGGCAACGAGAAAGCTGCTGAGCTCTACAAGTGGAGGAGCCACAACTGAGCAGCAGGAATAGGCTCAAGGCGAAGATGCAGTGCTGTTCTTGGGTGATGACCAAGAGTCAGATGACGAGGAGCCTGCATACTGCTTTTACGCACCAATACAACCTCCGAGCATGGATCATGCGCTAGCCGGGCCTCAACGGGGGAAGTGGCTCGTTTCAAGAGATGCAGAGTACAACAGCCAGATGGAGAATCACACATGGGACCTGGTGTACTTGCCAAATGGGAAGAAGGCAATACAGTGCAAGTGGCTGGCAAAAATCAAGACGGATGAGAAAGGAGAGCCATCAGTTTACAAGAGCAGGCTGGTGGCAAAGGGGTTTCAGCAGAAAGAGAAAGAAGATTACAAAGAAGTGTTTGCCCCAACTGCTAAGTCTCCAACGCTACGTGTGCTGCTGGCGGTAGCTGCTGTGCGCAAATGGAAGGTGAAGCAGATGGACATCGTAACCGCTTTTCTGTACGGCACTGTGGAAGAGGAGGTGTACATGGTTCAACCACCTGGCTATGAGGATGGAATCGGTCGTGTCTGCAAACTTAACAAGGCCATCTATGGCTTGAAGCAGGCCCCGAGATGCTGGTACAACAGGCTGGCCAGTGCACTGGAAGGGATTGGATTCCGTGCGAGTGCATGCGACGAAAGCCTATTCCTGATGGGCGAGGGGGAGTCGCTTGTGCTTCTGCTGGTGTACGTGGATGACATCCTGCTCTTCAGCAGCAGTGACAAGGAGATCGATGGGGTGCAGCGGAAGCTCACAGAGCTGTTCAAGTGCAAGTCACTTGGAGAGGCAAGGTACTACCTGGGAATGCACATTGAGCGGGATACTGAACGTGGCTGGCTCAAACTGCATCAGGGACAGTACATCAACACCTTGGCTGAGAAGTACACTCTGCAGGAAGAACGGGAAGTGGTTACACCTTTGCCTTCCGATTTCAAACTCATAAAGGCAGCTGAAGGAGAAGGAGTTGAAAGTGAAGACCTGAGGCAATTCCAATCCATGGTCGGGAGCCTACTCTACGCTGCTGTGCATACTCGGCCTGACATCAGCTTTGCTGTGGGACAGCTGGCTCGAGTAGTGCAAAATCCAACAGAAGAGCAGTGTGGTGCAGCGGAGAGAGTGGTGCGCTACCTCAAGTCATACCCTACAGTGGGAGTACAGTATTCAGCCTCTGCTCAACTCAGGCAAAAAGGAGTTGAAGTCCTTCAAGAGAAGGGGGAGCAGCTCGGAGAAGGAAAGGTGTTCCTTTCCTGTTTTGCTGATGCCACGTGGGCTTCTGAGCATGAGGATTTATCATCAGTTGGTGGATACATCTGCATGGTGGGAGGTGGGCCTGTAAGTTGGAGGTCCAAGAAGCAGTCTGAAACGGCACTATCTTCAGTGGAATCTGAGTACATCGCAATGTTTCATGCGGCAAAAGAAATCATTTGGCTAAGGAGGCTCTTGAAGGAGATCGGCCATGAACAGACTTGTGCGACACCTCTTTTCAGTGACAGCAAGGGAGCCATTGCCATGGCACGCAATGCAGTTCTTCATGGGTTGAACAAGCACATGAGGATCAACTAGCATTGGCTGCGGAAGGAGGTGAAGCTTGGGACCCTGGATCCGATCTACGTGAAAACTCAGCAACAGCCAGCCGACTTCCTTACCAAGCGGCTAGCTGAAGAGCCACACTGGCGCTGTGCGAGGATGGCGGGAATGTCCTTGAACTAGAGACGGCGAAACAAGCCGACAGTCTGAGGGGGAGTGTGTTGGTGCATATTCGTTTGCACGTCATCCTGTCGTCTGTTCGCATTATTTCGTTGCATGTGTTTTGTGTGCTACATTGTTTGTGTGGTTTGTTGGGTTTGCATGTCTTTGCATGTTCATCTTGTGCTTGTGCAGATGTGCTTGGATTGTGCATGACATCGAGCACATTCCAACGAGCCAAGAATTGTTGGAATCGGAGCACATATGAAGAAGTTACGAAGAAATGTTTGATGGATTTGTTACAACTCATTGGAAGTCCTTGTCAGCTCCTACACCAAAGATGGAGAGCCCTATAACGAGGAGGGACCAGCATGTGTGGGACTCTTGTCCCCACCCTGCAGCTGCAGCATTTGGGGTTTGGAGGCCAACCTGGTACAGTGTGAATTTTGTCTTGCCAGGCTGGCTGAACCTGAGGATGGGGAGTCAAGACTTTGACTCTTGTCATGTTCTTGACCATGGGCCTCTAGGGTCCTTCCCTTTCATCCTTCCCTTCCATCCCTACCTTCAAACTGTGCTTCAATGCCTTTTCTATCATGCCTCTGAACTTGTAAGCTTGAATCATAGTGACTCTGAGGATTGTCAACTTCTCCTAGGGCAGATTACCCCCTGATGCGCCAAACGCCATAGCTCGCTCGGTAAGCTACGGAATCGAGTGATTCAACTTTCAGAGGAAAGCTGACGCTGCAAGCTACGAAATTTCTGATTTTCAGATTGTTTCACTGATTGGAGTTTTGGATATAGCTTTTCGAAGGTTGCGAGTTTTCTGGGTGTCATAACGAAGTGCTGCAGAAATTTCCAAGGAGTCATTGAATCATCTGCTTATAGCCTTCTCTAACCAACACCTTGTCCCTCTGGTCCCACCGCAGCCGCCTTCGTCTCCGGTCTCTAGTCGCACTCGTTCCAAGGGACCGGCTCCGCCTCTCGCCTGGGGACCAGCCGCCTTCTCCATCCGGTGTTCGGTCACCCCGCCTCCTCCTGCCGGGGGTGATGTCCCCTCCATCCGTATTCCCCCCCGTGCACTTCTGGAGGACAGGCATGAGGAGCTGTTTGACCTTCACGCGGTCTGCCAATTTCTCTCTCGGACATTAGTAACTGCCCTTCCCTTAACTTCACCGAGAACCCGACCATTCCGACTCCTCGCTCAAAAGAGGAAGCTCTCTCGGGGCCTTATAAGAAGGAGTGGAAGGCAGCAATGGATGTGGAGAACGAGGTGTTCATTCGCAACAACAGCTTTGACGATGTTGTTCCCCCTTCCGGTGTCAACATCGTTGGCGGAAAATGGATCTTCCAAGTCAAACAACTCCCAGGCGAAGCTCCAGTGTTCAAGGCACGATACGTGGCGAAGGGTTTCACCCAGAAGGAGTATCTGGACTTCTTCGAAACCTTCTCGCCCACGGCCAAGCTCCCGACTGTGCCCACTCTTCTTGATATAGCCGCTCGCGGCAACTTCGAGATCAAGTCCATGGACGCCTCCTCCGCCTTTCTTCAGGGCCAGCTCAAGGAGGATGTTCACATGGAACGCCCACCGGGGTTTCCTGGCACTTACCCTGCCAACACAGTGTGGAAGCTGAAGCGCCCAGTGTATGGCCTCAAGCAGGCTCCTCGTGAGTGGCACAACAAGGTGAAGGAAGTCCTCCTCGCACTTGACTTCCATCCCTTTGCCTCAGATTCCAGTCTCTTCGTTCGTCACCCCTCCGAGCCCTTCTACATCCTCGTCTACGTCGACGACTTCATTCTAGCCGCCAAAGATCCAGCCGACATGGCAGCTGTCCAGTCTGCTCTCAGCTCCGCCCGTCTCATGAAGGATCTTGGTGACCTCAAGAACTACCTGGGGATGGAGATTACTCGTGACTGCCAGGCTTGCACGATCACGCTCTCCCAGGAGTCCTACATCGACAACCTTCTCAAGCGGTTCGACATGGACTCCAGTAACTCTGTCTCCACTCCACTCCCACTACTGCATCAGCTCATGGCCCCTCCAGTTCCTTCTCCTGACGCCTGCAAGGACCCGTACCCTGAGCTAGTCGGTTCACTCATGTATGCCATGATGTGCACTCGACCAGACTTGGCTTACCCGGTTAGTGTCCTCTCTCGGTACGTCTCCCCCGGACGCTACACTGCCTCGCATTGGTCTGCAGCCAAGAGGGTCCTCCGCTATCTACAAGCCACCAAGTCTCACATCCTCACTCTTGGTGGTACCTCTCCAGTCAAGCTCGAGGGATACACAGACTCCTCATAGGCCGATGACCAGACTGACAGACGCTCCTCCCAAGGGTACTGCTTCACCCTTGGTAGCGGAGTCATCAGCTGGCGCTCCACTCGGTCCTCTGCAGTCTCCCTGTCGTCTTGCGAGGCCGAGCTCTACGCGGGCACAATGGCTGCTCAAGAGGCACGCTGACTCTCCTTTCTCCTCGCTGAGTTAGGCTACCCCCAGCAGTCGCCCACCCTGTGGTGTGACAACCAGAGTGCCATTCACCTCACCAAGGATCCTGTGTTCCACTCTCGCACCAAGCACATCGAACTTCGTCATTTCTTCATCCGAGATCTTGTTCAGAGTGACCAGCTGACGGTACGGTACATCGCCTCAGATTGCAACCTCGCCGACCTCTTTACCAAGGCTCTCGGCAAGGCTGACCACCATCGCCTTCTCCGTTCCATGGGGCTATGTGCTCCTTGACCGGGTTTGCAGTCTATGGGGGTGTGTTAGAAATAGACTGCAAATACCACTTTTGTATTTGTACTTTTATATCCTAGTTTAGGTTATGAATGTTCTAGTAGGTTAGGGTGTACTCACAAATCCCAACCTCACCCAATTGTGATCCCCCCAATCTCTAATTACCCAATTGGAGATTCCGGAGATCCCAATTGGGATTCCCTCCAATTCCCCCTTCATCTATTCACTCTCACCTTGCCATGTACTTATAAAGCCTTGGGCTCCTTACCTTATCAATGATTTCAACTCTATTTCTTACAGTCGCTCCCTCCCGCCCACCGCGGGTCCACCCGCCATCGCCTTCCTCCCACTCCGTCTCACCAATGGCATGCTTCCGCCCTCCTGTCGACGTCACGACCCTCGATCATTTGGTGCGCGCTGCCGATAACTCAGCAACCAACTGGTATTCCGTCGCCGGCAGCCTCCACCGCATCCTTGGCAGTGCATATGTCCTGCCGTTCCGCCTCCTGGACATCATGCTTGGTCTCCCAGAGGGTGACCTTGGGGACCCGCCGCCTCATCCTGGCGATCCCCTCCCTCTCATTCCCAATCCCGGCAAGGAACCTCTGCCCCCCGTGGTACCCGTTGGCACCAGCACTCGCGGTGCCACCGCTGAAGTTGAGCAGCTCTTCGTTACTCAACGTCGTGAGTTCCTCGTGCTCCATACTGATTACCTGATTGCTTTGGAGGAACACAAGCAGTCGGCCACCCTCCGCAACCAGCATGCTGCTACCGCCGCTGCATATGCCGCTGACTCTGGACGATTTGCCGAGCGTCGTCGCGCTTTGCGCGAGGCGGACAGCTGTACTACTGGTGCCCTTCTCCTTGCCATCCCGTGTGCTCTCATGCGCAACTTCCAGGCACGTCGCATCGGCTCCCGCCAGATCTGGCTCGAGCTTGAGGCGATGTTCGAACGCACCGACTTCGACGCTGTCGGACCGCTCTTCAAGGAATACTTCAGCATCACGATCGAAAATAGTGCTGGCGCCGTTGGCTACACCAGCCGTCTCCTGGACCTTGCCTCCCGCCTAGAGGCTCGCCAGACTACTCTCCCCTCCAACCTCCAGATCTACCGTCTCCTCGAAGGCCTCTCCTCTCAGTATGAAGTGTGCGTCATCGCCTTCACTGAGGCTCAGCCCCGCGCCTCCCTTAACACTGTGGTCCAGTGGATCATTGACGCTGAGGCTCGCCTTCTCTCACCCCCCCCCCCTCCGGCTTGAACTCCACCGAGTCCCAAAACCCCCAGCTTGCAGTCGCACAGCCGCGACGTGGCGGGCGCCCACGTGGCGGCCGCACCAACCCTCAGGGAGGGGGCGGTTGTGGGGGCAACGGAGCCGGTGGTGGTGGTGGCGGGGTCGAGGGTGGCAGCAGTGGTGCTGGTGGAGGCAGTGGTGGCTAATCTGGTAGCCGTTGTGGCCGCCCTGGCACTCTCCCCCCATGTTCCTATCTTCACCGTTTTGGTCCCACGGCGGGTGAGCGCTGCACCCAAACCAACCATCCCCCAACGACCTGCTTCAAGGCGTATGATGACGCCTGGTTTGAGCGCGGCAACACTGGCACACCCCCACGCTGGTTTGCCATGGATCCCTGCCCCTCTCTCCAGGATGTCAAAACTCTTCCGTCATTCCTCCCCTCTCATCTTCAGCTCTCCTCCTCCTCCTCCTCCTCTGTCGCTTACCCCATAACTCCCCAAGAGATGCAGCAGTTTCGCCGCTTCCAGCAGCTGCAGCTGCACCAGCAGCTGCAGCAGCTGCTGCAGTGGGGCTCTGGTGGTCAGGCTGCAGCCGCAGCTGCAGGAGCCGCAGCCGCAGCCGCAGCATCTGTATGGCAGCAGCAGCAGCTTGGCTTTGGCACCGCTGCCATGGCTGCCACAGCCACAACAGGTCCTCCTGGCTTTCCTCTCTGGGGCTCTCCTTCCCCTAGTGCTCCCACCTCCCACTCCAGCTTTCTAGGCGAGCTCATGCGTTCTTCCCCTGCTTCCACTTCCGTGTATCCCTCTGTTTTTAATGACGGTGATTTCTAGTACCCCATGTGTTCACCTCCCTCCTCGCTCACGATAGACTTTGTTCTCGATAGTGGTGCCACTGAAACTGCCCTCAAAGACGCCGGCACCCTCACCTCCCTCCCTTTCCCCACCAACGTTCATGGCGCTGATTCCAGCTTCTCCGTCCCTTGCACCCTCCCTTGCCCCTCCTTCCCCTCCAGAGTGGTCACTCGTCTCCACATTCCCTCCCTTTGTCATAACCTGCTCTCCATCCGCGAACTCCAACAGGCTGGCATCACTACCCTCTTCTCCGCCTCTGCCACCTACTGTGACCTCCTCCACGGCCCCACTCGTCGCCTCCTTCATCGCCTCCCACTTTGCCCTCGCTCTCGTCAGTACATCCTCAGCACACCCCGCCCCTCCTCATGCCACGTGACCACTCGTGCAGGCACCTCCACTCTCCCCCCTCCCCTCCCTCTAGAGCCACCTTCCTCCAACTCCACCTCCTCCCCATGCTCTTGACGCGCACTCTCCCACCTCGCTGTTCTCATCCACCATCGCCTTGGTCATATGAACTTTTCCACTCTTCGTAAAGCCATCTCCTCCCGCTTGCTTGACGGTCTTCCCCCCACTCTTCCTCCCCTCCCGTCCTCTTCCGCTCCCCCATGCGCCACATGCATTCATGGAAAGCTCAAACAATAACCTCACCTCAGTCATCCTTCCTTTGCTGCTGCCCCCCTTGACCTCGTCCACATGGACCTCTGGGGCCCTAACCCTTCCCCTTCCCGCCAAGGGCACCGGTACATGCTTGTCCTAGTCGACGACCACAGCAGGTACTCCTCGGTGTTCCTTCTCCACACAAATGCCGAGGCCCCTGCTGTCATCGTTACCTGGGCCGAGCAGTGCCGTGTCCACTTTGGTCGCCCCATCCGCCGCCTCCATTCTGACGGCGGTGGTGAGTTTCTCAACCGCACCCTCTCCTTCTACTCTTCAACCCATGGCATCCAGCAAACTCATACCCTTCCCCACTCCCCTGAGCAGAACGGTGTTGCTGAGAGTCGCATTCGTGAGATCACCAAGACGGCCTGCTGCCTCCTCACTCATGCCTCCACGCCCCCTTCTCTTTGGGGCTATGCCCTTGTCCATGCTGCTCTCCTCACTAATCTTTACCCACATCCTCAACGCCAGTCTGTCACTCCCACAGAGCTCTAAGCTAGCACCAAGCCAGATGCTGCCATTCTCCGTATCTGGGGTTGCAAGGCATATGTCCTCATCCCCCCACCTGACCGCTCTAGGCAGGCAGGAAAGCTCGCCTCCAAGGCCATTGAGTGTGTCTACCTTGGCCACGCTCGCTCTGCCCCTGGTTACCTCTTCCTTCATCCGTCCTCAGGCCGCCTCCTACAGAGCTGTGACGTGGTGTTCGATGAGAGCATCCCGTTCTATCATTCTGTTCCGCCTTCCGACCCACTTCCTCCTCTCTCCCACCCCCTCATCTGGGCTGATACTGTCATTCCCCCACTCCTTCCCCAGGCTCCCCTCCATCCTCCAAATCCTGCTCCTCCCCCTCCTCCTTCCTCAGGTGACATTTACGACCCAGCTGTCCCTGACTCCCTTGCTTACTCTGCCTCATCGCACCAGCACCAGCAGCAGCAGCAGCACCAGCAGCAGCAGCAGCAACAGCAGCAGCAGCAACAGCAACAGCAGCAGCAGCAGCAGCAGCAGCAGCAGCAGCAGCAGCAGCAGCAGCAGCAGCAGCAGCAGCAGCAGCAGCAGCAGCAGCAGCAGGAGGTGCAGCAGCAGCAGCGGATGGTGCAGCAGCAGCAGCAGCAGCAGCAGCAGCTGGAGGTGCAGCAGCGGCAGCGGATGGAGCAGCAGCAGCAGCAGCAACCTCAGGCAGTGCAGCAACAGCACCCACAGCAGGAGGTGAAGTAGCAGCAGCAGCTGGAGAAGGAGCAGCAGCAGCAGCAGCAGCAGCAACCTCATCGGCATCGCCGCACCACCTCTCCGTTCATCCTCCCACGCATCCACACTCGCTCTCATGGCCCACTCATAGGCCATCCATGGAGTTGGCCAACGCCACCCCCACCCTCCCTTCCCTTCATTGAGGACTCCCATGAGGAGCTCATTGGCGTTCAGCAACAAACACCTTCCCTTACGCCTCTCTACGCGGGCTTCCATGGCCTCCTCATCCTTGGTATCGCTACCGCTCCCACCATATTCACCCCGTCCAACTTCCTTGAGGCCATCACCTGCCCCGATGCTGCCAAGTGGATCCAGGCTATCTTTGCTGAATGCGAGGCCTTCATCCGCAATGCCTCATTCGTTGACATTGTCCCCTCTCCTGATGACGTCATTGTTGAAGGCCTGTGGGTGTTATGAGTGAAGCAGCTGCCGGGTGAGGAGCCGGTCTATTAGAAATAGACTGCAAATACCACTTTTGTATTTGTACTATTATATCATAGTTTAGGTTATGAATGTTCTAGTGGGTTGGGGTGTACTCACAAATCCCAACCTCACCCAATTGTGATCCCCCCAATCTCCAGTTACCCAATTGGAGATTCCGGAGATCCCAATGGGCATTCCCTCCAATTCCCCCTTCATCCATTCACTCTCACCTTGCCATGTACTTATAGAGCCTTGGGCTCCTTTCCTAATCAATCATTTCAACTCTATTTCTTACACGGTCTACAAGGCCCGGTATTGTGCCAAGGGCTTTACCCAGACCCATGGCATCGATTACTGGGAGACATTCTCTCCCACTGCCAAGCTCCCAACTCTCCGTGCCATCCTCGACTATGCTGTTCGCATTGGCATGGAGATTGCCTCCATGGATGTCTCCAACGCCTTCTTGCAAGGCAAGCTCCAGGAGCGGGTCCTCTTGCGGCGGCCTCCAGGCTTTCATGCAGCCTTCCCTCCCAACACAGTCTGGGAGCTGCGCCACCCGGTTTATGGCCTCAAGCAGGCTCCTCGCGAGTGGCACAACAAGCTGGCCGCCACTCTGCAGTCCCTGGGGTTCCATGCCTCTCAGTCTGGTGCCAGCCTTTTCCTTCGCTCCTCTCCCACCCGCTTCTTCATCCTGGTGTATGACGACGACATGATCCTGTTCGCTGATGATGCTGCCGCCATGCAGCAAGTGAAAGACGCCCTGCATATTCGCCTCAAGTGCAAGGACCTGGGTGAGCTCCAGCACTATCTGGGCATGACCGTTACCTGGGACCACACATCGCGCACCATTACCTTCTCTCGGTCCTTCTACATCGACCAAGTCTTGCAGCGATTCGATATGGCGCAGGCCAAGCCGGTTACCACTCCCCGGGCGGCGCGGCGAGCAGGGACCGGCGCGGCGAGCTGAGGCCGACGCGGCAAGCTGGGGCCAACACGGCGAGGAGAGGACAGCGCGGCGAGGAGGGGCCTGCGCGGTGAGCTAGGGCTAGGGCCGGCGGCGAACTAGGGCCAACGCGACGAGCAGGGGTCTGCGCAGCGAGCTAGGGCCAGCGCGGCGGGATAGGGGCCATCGTGGCTCGGTGAGCTAGGGGCTGTTGGAGTGGTTCCGCCACCCACGACGGACCACTCAAGACTTGGGTTGACGGAATGAGAAGTTCGGACTTGGGAGGAGAAAGAGATAGGAAGCGATGAATGTTGCGTAAGCGTATGGTGTACGGTAAGGGGGGAACCTGTAGAGAAGGTTGAGAGAGGTTTGGTGGAAAGAAAGGAGAATGGTGGTTGAGTGGAAGAAAGGAATGGAAGTGGCAAGAAACAGATTCACGTGGGGCAAAAATTGGGTTTTGGACGGGGCGTGTTCAGCAAGAAAGTTGCGATTGCATGTGCGACTCGGCATGGTATGAAGCGCGCGAGTTACGCGCAGTGCACACGAATCGCGTTTGTTCTTTCTTGTTTGCCTATAAATCAGTTTACTGTTGTGTGCTTTGTATCGCATTGGAAGTAGTGGAATGCTTGTGTGTATTGACAACTTGCAGCCACTTTGAGATCAGATTATGAGGCAAGGCCCTTGAGGATATTGCAAGAGTATTTCTGAATACTTTACGCTGCACCGGAGGCAACAGTCACCTAGAACTGGTATCAGAGCTAGCGTCGAATTGCTGGCGAAATTTTCTGCGTGGAGTCTACTTTGTGCGCTAAGTAGAGCAGGGGAGTTATAGGAGAGTAGTCAGCCTACGTCATGGTGGGTGACGAGGTTAGTTTGGGATCCAGTGTGAGCATTGGAGACCCGCAGATGAGAGCTCTCCTAGTGGCCCTGTTGAGGGGCCAGTTGGTGGCGAAACCGACGATTGGTATCAGCGAGGCCCAGCGTTTCAATAAAAGCAGCTACAGTACGTGGTGCTTGGAGTTCAGTCGAAGGGCGGAGAAGGTGGACCTCTGGTCCTACTACTCTCCAGACAAGGAGACAGGGGAGGGAGTACCTCCTACTGAGATGGAGTCGGCAGAGAATAGTGCAGAATTCAAGAGGAAAAGTAAGCAAGCGTTCTTTCAGTTGTGCCACTCAGTTTCCGACAGTATTGCTGTGAATATGGACCCATTTAAGCATGAGGTTAATTCTGCAGAGAAGGCTTGGGCATGTTTGGAGAGCATGTACCTTAGCCTAGCAATGCTAACAAGTCTGCTGTGCGAAAGAAGCTGTTGTTTCTCAGCATGGGAGAGGAAGAGACGATCATCGACTACGTTAACAGGGCGCGCAGCCTCAACGATGTGCTAGCGGCGATGGTAGATGCCGAGAACGAGGAGAAAATGATCGAGCATCTAGTGAGTGGACTACCTGAAACGCGGGCAGCAGAGAAGAGCGGCCTTGTTTTTCACCCTCCAGAGAGCATGACGTAGTTAGTGGACAAGCTGCAGTCGATTGAGGCAATGAAGACAGCGAGTAAGCGGAAGACAGAAGCTTCATATGACGGGCAGGAGAAGTCGGGGATGGTGAATGCAGCAGCAGCTTGGAGGATTAGTGGTGCTTGTTACCACTGTGGCAAGAAAGGGCATAAGGCGATAGACTGCTATGACAATCCTAAGAGCAGGAACTATAAGGGGAAGGAAGCTGCAAGTGAAGGAGAAGGTTGGCAGCAGCGGAAGGGATTTCAAGGCACCTGCGATTTCTGTGGGAGGTACGGACATAGGGCAGCAGATTGCTATTCTAATCCAAACAACAAGAGTTACAGGGGTCCAGCACATCAGCAGCGGAATGCACCGAAGGCGAACGTGGTGGAAGCAGAGGAGGAGAAAGATGATATTATCCTTGGGGGCACACATCGGGCGAACATTGCGTGTGCGTCAAACCTGCAAGCAGACGGGTTCATGCTCCATGGCTGGTACCTAGACAGCTGCTGCACACATCACATGACGAACAGGTCAGACTGGTTGGAGAATGTGAGGGAGTCGAGTGAGAAGTTCATACTGCTGGGAGAAAGCACAAAGTTCCCCATCACTGGAGAATGTGACCTCCTACTGCGTAGCAGGTTCGGCGAACTGAAGTTGAAAGGGGTACTACTGGTGAAAGACCTGTCATTGAATCTGATTAGTCAGCCACAGATAGATGCATTGGGATGTAAGATGCTCAACGACCGGGGCAAGGTTACAGGATTTGATCCAGCGTGGGAAGTAGTTGCAGATGGGAAGCTGAAGCGGGGTTTCTAAGAGATGGATTTTATGCCAAAGATGTTAGTAACGGACAGGTATGAGGAGGACAACATAAGCAATGAAGTCGTGGTTGTGAGGGAGGAGACAGGAGCTGAGGCAGCTAAGAAGCTGGTGTAAGCAATAGAGTTGAAATGATTGATTAGGTAAGGAGCCCAAGGCTCTATAAGTACATGGCAAGGTGAGAGAGCATGAATGAAGGGGGGAATCGGAGGGAATCCCCATTGGGATCTCCTGAATCTCCAATTGGGTAACTGGAGATTGGGGGGATCACAATAGGGTGAGGTTGGGATTTGTGAGTACACCCTAACCCACTAGAACATTCATAACCTAAACTAGGATATAAAAGTACAAATAGAAACGTGGTATTTGCAGTCTATTTCTAACACTCCACTCTGCATTCGCGCCTCTCATCGTCGATCGCCTTCGCGCTCGACCTCGGTGAATTTCTCATCTCTGAAGCTTTCACGCTTCTCGTCGTCGATTTCCTCCTCGGTTCTCCTTGGTCGAATCTCAATTTCGACCATCTCTTAAAACTCGTTCTCGAGTTTCCCCTCAGACCCCGCCAGAATAGGCGAACTCCCCTCGCGAAATCGCCTCCACGAACGTCTCGCGTCAAGCAAGAGCAAGTACACAGGTTGAAGCGGAGCGGAGCTGGTTGCGGAGCTGGTTGCGGAGCTGGTTGCAGAGCTGGTTGCGGAGCTGGTTGCGGTGTTGGTTGCGGAGCTGTGTAGCTGCGGGACAGGGCCTGGGGGTGTGTGGGGGGGTGTGTGGGTCCGGGGTTAGACATAGGCTCAGATTCAGTTTCAAGTCGGCATTTTAACGAATTTTCGCCGACGACATTTCCTACTTAGCGGCATTTTGATAAAGCCGTCAGAGTGATTTTCAGCAATTCTCGTCGACCAATTTCCAGAAGTGCCGCGCTGCACACCGACAATGGGTTACTCAACCACTTCACTCGCCAACCGGATCCCGCTCCTTCGTCTCGAGCCGGACGGCACATGCTCCAACTACAAGGCTTGGCGCTATGGTGTCGACAAGCACCTCCTTAGTCGCGAGGTGAAGGGGCTCGAGCTCACCGACGTCCTTCTCAACATCGGTGACGGCAAAGAGCCTCCTAAACCCGAGAGGTCCGCCGATCCAGCTAATGCCGCCGCCGAAGCAGTTTATGCTACTGCACTGCTCAAGTACAAGAATTGGGAGAAGGCCGATGGTGCGGTCATTAGTGTCTTCATGGGCACCACTCCTCCCGAAATCGTCGAAACCTACCACAACTACCC